ACACACACACACACACACACACACACACACACACACACACACACACACACACACACACACACACACACACACACACACACACACACACACAGTTAAGTTAATGTGGCTGAAAGTGACACCTTGAATACAAACTATGCAACTGAGGGGTAGAGGAACCTGTGCTAGCACAAAATCATTTTTTGTATGATGATAAGTGATGGCTGGAAAGGAGGTTCCCCTTGTTAGAATTCAGTGCATTTCTCCTTTTTAACATATCAGCACTTGAGCTTGCAATACACAATGTCTATTTTCAAGCTGCAGGTCAGAGTGGGATTATATAGAAAAGGCTGTTTAGGGCACCTGGCAAATGCATTCCCTCAGTCAACCAGGCTCTCAGAGTCAGAATTGGCTTCATTGGCCAAGTATATGAACACATGCAAGGAGTTTTGACTCTTAGACATACTGCTAGGAAGGAGAACAACAAAAATAAATTAAGAATGTTACAAAAATACTAAATTCTGATGTTAGACGGTCCATACTGCACTGTAGAATGGAATGTGAAAAGAAAGTATAGGAGAATATGCAGTATATTAGAAACAAGAATTGCCAACACCAAAGAATGCACCATGAAAGTACACAATTCAGTTGGCTCTGTATGTTGTAAGCAGTACATGTGCAAAGAAGCAATACAGTAGTGCAATGAAATATATAATACTGTATAAATATGCAGAAATTAATATGATTTGAAGATATCTTCTGGGCTCATAGCCAATTTAATGGAAAATTATTAATGATAACTCATTAAAAAAGAGTAAAAGTATGTTTTGAGCAAGGTTCAAAGATGTTAGTTATGACGAACTTGCAACCAAAAACAGCCTGGGACAAAATTCTGACAGCACCAGACATTTAGGAAGACCATGTGAGGACCTTCATCTAATTATCTACTGATTGGAATACAGCATGAAATGATGCACGGATCAATGAGACACTGTTTGCCAAGTAGGTGTTATCATTTTCTAGTCTATATACATCAAACTTGATGTCAAACCCAAATTTATACATCCATGTCACACAGCGTGGCTTCAAATAAACCTGTGCGATTGGTGAACTCAGTCTGTAGGTGCCTTTACTGCAGGGCTTCTTATTCAGAGCAGCCACCTCCTGAGAATAACAGGCAAATGGAGCATGAAGGGAAGGCGAGGTCTGGACCAGGAGAAGATAGCATGACTGTCTGACAGGATGTGCTTAGTTACACACTCTGTGTTCCTACTAGAGCCCAGACAGCCCACCAAGGCCACACATGGGAGAGGAGAAGGGTGGGGAGGAGGCTACAGGACGTCTGTGTGTGTGTGTGTGTGTGTGTGTGTGTGTGTGTGTGTGTGTGTGTGTGTGTGTGACGCAAGAGAAGATATATCGTCCCCTGCTTTTGCCTGGAGAGGCTCTGGGACGCATCTAAGATGCCAACAGCAGTGACAGCATCATCAACAAAATGTAGCTGTGGCAATCACACACACAAACAGAATCACACACACACACAGATTGCTACTGAGCCACTTGAGAAAAACACTCCAAATGTGTTTAGAAAACTGAGCCAGGAGGGAAAATCACTTTTTTCTGTTTTTGTCTCAAACAAACAAACAGCTACACACGTTTCCGTCCTCACTCCACCGAGCGAAGGTTCCCTCTCTGTGGAGAAGCCGGTTCAGCATAAACAAATCTGATTTTAGGGGGAAACTTTTACCTTTCATCATGTCTACTGGCTATTGAGCCCATTACAGCCAAATTAAACTAAGTAGGGCAGGCTTAACAGACTGTAAGATTGCTCCTGAAGGTCAAACAACGCACGGAATGACCAACCTCCATCTATAAATCCCTCTGCGCCGATGTGTTGCTTATTGGCATTAAACATCACCACACCTGTTTATCTTATGAAGCCATTTCCCTATAAAGGAAGACTTTAAATGTCTGGCCATTTGCCCAGTTTACCTTTATGGGCCATCTCTCGCTTTGTCTGTCTTTCTCTCCCTCATCTCTTTTTCATTTCCCAAGTGGGTGATTCAGTATCTTGAAGCAGCAGATATTTTTCACCCTTAGAAGCACCTGAAAATAACAAACCAGTGTGGATAATGACTTAATAAGAGGACAGAAGGACAAGAGTAGATGAGATGCTGATGAGAGGAAATGATGATGAGGAATCTAATGAAGTTGCACAAGTCTGTTTTAAATAGCTTCTAGTAATATTATTGGGTTCCTAATTAATGTATCTGCCTCTGGGTCTTTAATATTTTTAAACTATCAAGCATATTAGATTAAAAATTATTTCTATTTCTTACTTGATAAAGTAATTATCAGCAGAGATGCCAGTGAGGGGGTGGTATTGCTCATCAGGCCAAATGCTTAATGGAACCAAATAGATCTTAGGGGAATTATGCCACTCATATAAACAAAAACACTTTGAGAGTAAGAGTTCAATATTTTTAAGGTGAGCACCTACTTTAGAATCTCCAACTGAATAAATAAGTAAAGAAATGGATGAATGATGGGAGGCTGAATGAGTACGGAAAGAACATTGACACTACATGTGGGAGGAATAGTAGCCGAGGGAGCGGCTGAAGTAAAAGAGAGTCGACCGCAGATGAGAGTAACATATGCTGATTATGAGGACTTCCCAAGACGGATTTTAATATTTAATGTGTCCTAGATTTCACCATAACCCATAATTTCCCCCATTATTTCTATGATACAGCTAAAAACTACCTCGTCCACTTAGGGATAGAAAGTCCGGTTTGTGATGGAAGGTACTGGAATTGTCCTAAAAAGAAACTGTGAAATCAGAAATGATCCATATGCTTTATGATTGTTATTAGATTTTGTTTCGTTTCTTCAGGACTAAAAGCAAATCATTGTAAAGACTCTCTCTGTGCCTGGTTGGCTTTGCAAATGACAATGGAATTTATCATTATTAAGGCATGTTAGTGAATTTTTTGTCATGTATTTTACATTTTTATATCACTCTATTTTTCTCTTATCTACTTTCTGTCGCAAAACTAAACCAACTATATACTTTGTGCTCCAAACTTTTTTCACCTATATCTTAAAATGTACAAATGATATCAGTGTGCACATCTTTGCACACATACAAAATGTTTTCGACTGCAAAAACACATCATTTTGTTGTTTTGCAAATTTTCTACATGCACACAAAACATAATGTACAGGCTATGAAATGAATTTTGAATATAATTTTACAAAGTCACTAATGACACATATTTGACTCTGTAGGAATGACGGAAGAAAAGAAAGAGCAATTTTAAACAGTGGTACGATGAACATGCAGTGGATGTGAGTTTGATTGTATACATTCACAGACTCAAAATAACACTACACCAGGTCATTTGGTCTGTTCCACCTGTGGGAACTTATGTGCCACTGTGCACTGAGCTGAGACTCAAACAAGTGAGTTTTTACAGTTTACAGTTGCAGGAGGCCCTGTAGGCTTTTCAAAAGAGAAATGGACTTTTACCTCACAACCTTATATATTGTGTGGCTTTTCTGCCTCTATATCGCTGCTTTCAGACATGAACTGGACTCCACAGTTCCTCTGGATTTTCCCCAGAGGACATGCTTGTGTGAACGCAAATATCTGACTGAGACACTCCGCAGTTTCTACAGAATTTATCCACCTGACTTCTAAGTATTATATTTGTAGAAGTGGATATGTGAACACAGAAGGGGATCCCCAGTATTAACAAGCCGCCACTGACTTGAACTTAACCGCAGCGCTCAACAAGATGGCACCTGCTAACGTGAACTAGCTACAGCAACTATTCAGTCACAGTTCGCTCACTGCTGTTAAAACTGATACGAGAACAGTTTAGTAGCAGTTTAGTATGTTACAGAGAGTCAATGTCATTTTCTTACACTGCTGTAGGTGACTCAACCAGTAACACCTGGGTTTACCTGTTTCATGTCAAAATGGCTGCCGGGGAAAGGGTTAGCTGCATAACGTAGCTTAATAAACACAACATACTTCTCTAAACCACGTGAACATATTCCACAAAACGTGTCAAGATGGAAACCTCAGTTTTACTGCACCTGTGGATCGATGGAGGTCGTCTCCCTCGCGCCAGAGCTATCAAACTACCACACGGGCCTGGACCACGTGACTCACCGGACCCTGTCCCGGTGGACTGACGTGCTGCCTTCAGGGCCGACGCGGTTCTTTGGTTTTTTTGTCTGATCTACCCATAAAACAGGTAAACTGTCCCATTGGTTGTTTTTGCGTAATTGGCACTGGGATGGTCCAATCACATCTTTTAACACCTCCCCCTTTTGGCCTCTGTGCTGACGTCATTAAATTGTGAATCTGGAAAAAGAAAAGGAAAAAAAAAAAGCAGCCCCCCCCCCCGTTAGAATTGCAAAAATAAATAAACAGTTTTCCATTGTTAAATAATATTCATTGAGAGCCTTAGTGCTAATTATAGATGCAACATAAAGCGTTTTGAAGTTTTGAAAAACCAAACCTCCCTCTCATTTGTTTCACAGTGGTTTGGTCCACTGCTCATCCCACCCGGGCCACCTCTGTATGCTGCTGCGTCTATTGAAGCACACGTGAGACAGGAAGTCTGTGCAGTGCACGATTTAAATCATCATAACTGAGTGAATTCTCAAACTATTCTCAAGCCGTTCGCTTTGTTACAATTGTCAGATGTGTATTTATGATAATGCTAGTTTATATTAAAAATTAAACCTTTGATAGAAAAATATGTGATCATCTGCAGATGATTATGTAGTAATATTACTATAATTGATCTACCCAGTAAGTAGGTTCTAAGTGCATTATTTCTGACTACATGTAAAATGGCTGCCGTGGTAATAAATGAAGACTTAACACAACATTTTCATTATTATAACTTTGATTCAAACATGCTGCCAAAGCATGGATATATATTGAGGGGAGCATGAAGATGAGTGATATGTGTGATTGATGGTTCTGGGCAAAAAATGCCGCAGCCGGACTCCAGGATAACTGCTTCCTTCCAGATTGTTCTAAGATAACTTACTGCTAGATACATCTGCATATTTATTGTACATGACAGTGGTTCTCCTCATATATAATCTTGTCCTATTCCCCAAATTGTTCCTTTAATATTCCTGTTAACAGTAATAAAAGGAGAGGTCAAAAGAGATGAAAAGAGAATGAAGAGCATTACCTTGACCTTGACTTTGTTTTTCATCAGCATTTCTGAGCAACACAAAACCATTCTTTATAGTTTAAAGAACTATCATCCTCTCAGTGCACGGCATATTTTGAATCGTCACCAGCAGCCTGCCACCTATATTTGTCTCTGCCACTTGATCAGACAGCTAATTAGCATGAAAAGTAATGGTTCTGCCATTCTCTCGTTGTATTTATCAATCTGTCAGCCTGTCCATCCATACATTTGTCTACCTTGTGAATCTTAATGACTGTGTGTCTGTGTCTGTCTAGTTTAGCGTCTCTGCTAGTCAGCTGCTTTGCTAACATTGTCTAGTTCAGTGGACCAGGGTTGCCTGAAGCCTGTGACCCAGCTAATCAGCTCACCCCACAGTAACCCAACAACTGGCATCTTAATTAATCATGTTACAGTGGTGGGATGTAGCCTTGCATCCCAATGTTCTACACTACAACACCGTGGAAATGCCTCTTCCGATTGTCTCATTATCAGATGTGAGTTGCTCTCTTGTCTCTGCTTCAGCCTCTGTGTGTGTTGGTGTAGATTTTCCACCTGCAGCATGTGGAGCAACCATAAAAAAATGAATAAAGATGATGAGAAGCCCAGCACCTCCCTGCTGGCTGCCACTCTGTGTTATCTTTAGGATTGCCCTGCAACTCACTTCACCACTTATTTCTCTCGGAGATAACATTTGCTGCACTTACAACACACTCACACATGGAGGTGAGATCATAAACACACTCACACAGTGACTTACTTTTTTTTCAACCTGGAAGCTAACCCTTAGTTTACTGTAACTGGAATAGAATAGAATATAATTAGCTTTGGGCTGCATGCAACAGCAATGAACCCAAATAAGGTATTACTCATGTTGTGGGGACATAAGCCACATGATGGGAACTTGTCTTCCTTATGGGGACAAAAAGCAAGTGCCCATAATGTAAATCAGGCAATTTTAAGGTGAAGACATGTATAAGGTTAGGTTAAGGTTAGATTTAGGTTCAGGTTAGGCCAAGGATTAAGGTCAGGCAACTATGGTTAAGAAGTGAAGCCCCTTTTCACTGGTCATAAACCCCACTAACATCTGGCTTTTGTCTGCAATGGTGATGGATTTGATCGGCATTCACTCACAGGTCAAATGACTGCATTACACACAGGTTTTAATCGGCTTCAGCTCCGATCAGCAGTGACGGACACATGACACCCGGGTGAAGATGCTAATTCGTCAAGACAGCGAGTTGAGAGAGTGTCTCAGTTGTGGATGCGCTCATGATGTCGAACTTGATCCAAGAGGGGAAAAACAGAAGGGAAATTGTGCTTTTTAGTGAGTTGACCCATGTTTAAAAAAAATCACGTTTACCTTCTTATTTTGGTGTAAAAGAGGTACAAGTCCCCAGAAAATCAATTTAAGTCATTGTAATGGCTTTTAAAGTCAGGGGGACACGGCTATGTATCTCACACACTGTACATTACATTTCATGTTTGTCACAGAAAGCTTTCAGATTAAATATGGCAAAATGGCCACAGAATTATTATTCTCCTCATGAAGCTTCGTCTGCTAAATCTGCATGTTTTACACTGCACTGTCATCCCTTTGTGGGGCGGCATAATGATGAAGATACTGTTTAGATATTCACTTATTATCTCCCAGGCTCAGCTTGCAGACAAGTTAAGGCTTTCTTTACTAACCCAGAAAACTGGCAATATCTCCGGCTGCCTCTCCTCTTTCTATCACTGGACAATTACAATATTTATGAGAAGGACCCTGCAGTGTTAAAACACAGTTTTATTTCTCTAGCTATTTCTTTTCCCCCTTGTACTGTGCGTTTTTTTCCCCCCTTTTTCTTTTAATGAAACACCGCCAAGAAAATCACTCAAGCATTTGTCAGTGTAATTGTACAACACAATGCAATGAATGGATATGAGCCTGCCGTTTCAAACTGCTGACAGGCACAGAATAAAACACCTCGCACTGAACAGGGGATTAGGGCAGAGAAATAGAGTGAGTTAGAAAGACAGCAAAGGAGAAATGAGGAATGTGTGTGTGTGTGTGTGTGTGTGTGTGTGTGTGTGTGTGTGTGAGTGTGCATAAAAGAAAAAAACATGAACACGCCAAAACAATCAACCAGTGTCAGCACTTTATG